GTCAGAAAGAGTCAGCAATAAGAAACTCTGGGAACAAACCAACCAAGAACCTACTGCTCAACAAATATGTAGAAGAGAATGAAGATGGATTGGACACACACTTAAGAGACTGTCGAATGAGGCACCATGCTAGTCGCTCGAGGGGGACCCGAATAGGAAATGACAAGTATGGCGTCCGGGGGTGAAATGGAAGAGGAGAGGAGAAATTATGGGCAGTTGTGGGGCCAGCTGAAGAAGACAGCAGAGAAAAGGACGAAACGGAAATGTGCTGTTGAAGCCCAATGCTCCACTTGGAACCCAAAGGAACAACAATAATTACCCAGATTTCCAAGTTGTGTACCCCTACAACTGATGATATGATCATGAATAATAAAGTGTTGTTTGGAATTTTGTCTTCTGTTAACTTACACTGTTTCACTGTGTGATTTATACCCTAAAGAAGTTGTTTTTATATGGAATTGCATACTCTAACCACAGTGCTCAAGCTTTACACATCTATTAAAATGATCCTGCATAGTTGCTTTTTACACCAAGAGTTGTTTGTAGTTGATTGACTTGTGCAATGAAGAGATTTTCTGTCTGTCATTCTGTTTTCGCTCAACCTGAAAAATTGTATAGCAAACAGCTGGTATGAGTTTTTAAAAGTGTTGGAAATTGATAACCTAGTGTGTTTTGATGCCGTAATATGCTGTCGACCGATTGATTGATTGATTGAGGTGAATAGTTGGATACCCGCCCACTTACACCAGATCGTAGTGATCTAAATATCAGACGGTCGTTTCACTCGTTTGGTGTAGGCAGAGCTCATCAGTTGTGTACGCGGTTTGTCTCAGCTCTCTGTTACAATAACCGATTTGTAAATTAATTATTCATGACTTTCACTTTACAAAGTTTGAGCGAAATGGCTGTTCGGGGTTTAGACCGCTTCGATCTAGATACCAAGTAGTACTGCTTAACGTGTGTGTATGTGTGAATGGTATAAAACTATTCCCATCAATCACTCAGCGGTATGTGCCGTCATACGATTATGCTCACTTTCTTGGCTGTCATTTATGAAATCAAGCAGACGACATACTGTGAAATATGAATGATTTTGGTCTCCCCAAAGTAAACTGTGGTGAAATAATCACTGCAAACTGTGCAAATTACGCATAACGAATTTTATTCTAATGTAGTTTGATAGTAAAATTGTATTTACAAGACAAATTTCGCGAGATGATATCGTCATTTCGTAGTTTCTTTACAACCGCTTTACAACTAACATGGTTAACAATAATAAAAAATAAAGGTCATGACAACTACTCAGTTAAATAAAAAACAAAAGTAAATACTAATGACCAATCATATTTAAATAGGTCATGTTGTCCATGGTAGGTGAAGACTGAAGTCTATTGTTTTTCGCGTGTGATTAATCCAAAGTGCTTCCATCACCTTTAATGACCAACCTTGAATTAGAGTTATTTGATGAAATAATTATGAAGCACTCATTAATATTGATTGATTTTGTGACCTGACATTAATCGAAACTCTAAGACGAGTTGTGTACTGCTGTAACGACAGAAGACAAGGGCCAGGCAACAGATCCTTTATTGAGAAAATCAACAGATATTTATAGATTTTTATGTACGTTACTATTCTCGTTATTGTTAGCAGAGAAGCAACGTCTTCTGATTGGTTGTTTTCCTGCTGAAGGTTTTTGTGTCTTCTCTTTGTGGCCGTTTCTTAGACAGTCCGGTGATATATCTGCGAGTCGTATCCGCCCACGCCATATCTGCTGTGATTGGTTGTTGAGTTCCTCAAGGTTAGGCCTTGTTCTTGTTTTCTCTCCTGACCAAGATTTACGAAGCAAACATTGACGTCAATTGCTGTCTGCCGATTTTGGCTAGCGGATAGCTCTCATCACACTTCTACTTAAAGACTTACCTCGTTGACTATGCAGGTTTGATGAGTTGAGCATTCCAGTGTAAGCCAATAAAGCAATGAAAGTTAAAAATTGTTACTAGATATTTTAATCAGTAATACTCGAATGAGTGCGTCGGTGGTACAGTGGTAGATTGCTAGCCAACCGTGCATGTGGTTCGGGCTTTGTTCCCCAGCCACTGACGCACTCCTTTACCTCACTAAGCCAGTAATAAGACTGGTAAAGAGGAGAGGTTGGGCATTGGGCTAGCAACGCTATCCCGTAAAAATAAACACCACTGCTACCGAAACTTCAAGCCTCTAGCTTGAAGCCCTATGTTCCAATGGGAACGTAAAGGGATAAAAAGAAGACTCGAATGAGTGAAGTAATTTTCGGAAAATAATCCCGTAGGTAATTTAATTCTCAACGTTGATTGCTTCTTCAACTCTGTTGAGTTTGTTGTCGGGTGCAGAACTGTCAACACAGTTGATTTTGATGTCAGAAATGATCGCAAACACGTTTATTCATGTAACAATTGAAGTTGTATCCTTCTACACTTATTCTTACTAGGTGGTTTTATTTTCACTTTAACTATAATCATATAATGGCTGTCACAAAGTATCTGAATGGTGTTCACACTACTCATAGAGAATATATACATGGTACATGACTTCAACGTGTATTGGACAATATCTGTACGCAGAAAGAGACAGTGGTGAATCTTGCACTGCCTTGGTGACAAGAAAAATATATATATATATATATATACAACAGCTTGTTTTTGTTTCCAAGCCTAATTGCCTAACTATTCTATTAATATTTATAAACTGTCAAATATTGATCACAGTTCATTTGAATTATTCTATAAATAGTCAGTGTTTGTAACTCTTAGTTAGTTAAATCATTCCGGACTAATGCTACTTTTACTTCCTACCAATTACTCCTTGTGATCGTGGAAAATTATGTTCAAATCTTTAATGTAATGTAATTCATATTTTTCATCGTTCAGGTTGTAACCAGTTGAGAAGAATCCTCGAAATAATAAAAAATGAGCTCATATTATCCTGGTACAATTGTTGTTCTTGCTTTGTTCAAATATCTGTTGAGTCAATCACTGAGCGTGTAAATGTGAATTGATTGCCATCTTTAGGTCATTTTAATTATTCCTAGTTGCCTTTAATGTGGTAGCAGAATAAATGCCATTCACTAACGACGCGTAAATTCCTACATTAGCCTATAATTTAGTTTTTATGTGCGCTTATAATGCTCTTTGAGTACATCCACCGATTGATTGAATGTAAAATAGTTTATGGAGACGTGGCTCACTGACTTAAGCACTCAGCTTCCAACCAAATGAATCCCGCGTTCGAATCCCGCTCCACTCACTTCAGCTTGGGCAAATGGATAGTATCACCAGCTCTCACATGATAAGTGTGGCTCATAGCCCCTGGTATCGGGTAAATGAATTCTAACTAAATTAGTTTGGTCACTGAATCACAATCGTTTTGTGGAATAGAAATAGAATTCCGTAAAAAGTCCATAATTAATTCAATTAATGTATACCATCACTGTATCAGATCTCTGACTCTTAGTTAGAGTAATATAAAAAGTGGATACAAACTATCTAAACAAACTTTATCAGGTAGATGAAACTCATTGTTTGATCTTTGCTTGGATCTGGTTCACAATATCTGTCTTAGGTCAATTGATTTTCATTCTGCTGCAGGTTTTCAATTCATCATCAGTTTATATCTATTTGACTTTGATGTCTTTCATGCGGTCTACGTTATCAAATGGTTAGAGGTAATCAATAGGAAGCCTTCGACCTAGGCTTCATGCTTGTTGGTACTGGCTGGGAAGGCGTATCTGCAACTCATAGGGGACTCCTGTCTCTCTCTAAGGTTCTGGACTGACTGGCTGGTTTCAGCGTAGAACTTTGTACTAATGTGCAGCAGTTCGTGTCGCCACACTTCACTTAGCACACTAAGCAGAGAAAAAAAGGAAAAAGAATTGCAAAACAGAGACAGTAAACAGAGATATGATGCAAAAAGAATAGTAATATGGAAGAACCATATAGTTTTTTGTATAAGTCATAAGGAGTGGATGCATCTGCGCTGTCATTGAGAACGATTTTGAGACATATCACCAATTGTCTGTAGCCTTCATTGGTTTTTACCGTCCCGAGGACTCCAACCAGGAGTCGTTCTACACCTCCCTACGTGGCGACTGGCTGAAACTAACTGTTGTGGATTTGGTTGACTGATGAAGCCATGTTTTGGTTTGACCACCACTGACTCTTTTCCAACCTGATCCATCCTGTCGGTCGAGGAATGCGATCGATGGCTAGGGATGTATGCGTAACACATATCCTAACCATCTCAATCGATGTAACTTCACAGCCTCCTCTATTGATTTCCCCTCCTTATCTAGCTCTCTGCCGAAGCCTAACCTCAATATTGCTCACCTTATTCTACCACTTCACACGGGAGTTATAACGCAGACACCTATGATGAAAGACAGCTAACCACGCTTTTCATGTCTTCCATTTTCAATGGCCATGCCTCACAGCCAGCCATGAAGAAGGGAGCAGTACACAAATCCTTTGGTCGATAGCCGGACATCACATCAGAGACGGCGTGAACTGGCATATGCCAGACTAGCCTTGTGTATCCGTGCTGAGATTTCTTCAGTGATCGACCTGTCTGGCGTTGGCTGATGCAACTTCCCAAGTAATTGAAGTGGTCAACACGCTCTACCACTTCACTCCCTATTTCTAAGCTAGGGGTCACTGTAGTTTAGTCCTGTAGTAGCATCTTACATTTTGCAGGAGCGATTCGAAACTACTTCATTTAGAGATGCTACTTTTGAGGCTATTTGGGTTCATGATTGCCCTCCTGTAGAACTATAATGGATGCTTTGATTGGATACTGGGTAGTAACCAATGTCATGCGCCTAGTCCTTGGTCTGGTGGAGACTGAATTCTACAGGTCAAGTTTATTATTAATCTTATTATTATTATTCTATTTATCTTGTCAATGTTTTGTGTAAATATCATCATTTGAGAAAGCTATTGTGTGTTTATTCTTATCAATATCTATAGAATGAATATCTCGAACGTGCTCCCAAACTAGAATCATTGGGAAAATTATGTGAAGCATACGATTGTTATCTAGAAGGGTTAAATCATTTAGTCGCTGCATGTAATTGTAAGTTTAAGTTTTTACACTCAGACCGTCATTATGCCCTTTTTTAAAAATAATTTTTATTTGGTAGTTCAAACGCTTTTCTTTTCGATTGTAAATATGCAAGACCTGTCTATTGTGTCATTGTTGTGTATGTGCGTTAACCTGGGAATTTAGTTATTTCTGTTGTGTAATTGAAATGAAGCCTTGAGAGAATACTTGTTTCCCATTCCTTGCATCCCCTACTGGGACATAAGGTTTCAAAGCTTAAGCTTTGGAGTCTCAATAGCGGTATTGTTCTCGCCGAGTGGAGTTGTTAGCTTCACTTCCAACCTTCCGTATTTACTAGGGATCAATCCTGAGCCTTGTGAAGTGTGGTTGGCGAGCAGTCTACCACACTGGACCACCAAAGTACCTTGGAATTACTACAGGTCATATATGTCATATTTTCTTTCTTCATTGTAAGTCTTTTCGGTGTTGTTGCTTTCTCTGAGCCGATTGGCTTAGTTGCATAGCCGTCAAAATATTCATCCATCTCCCACGGGAATGGGATGTTGTTTTAGCTTAGAAAAGTGGACCGATAAACGGTAAGACTTTGCTTTCGACACCGTTTGCTCCGTGTTCGGCTTATGACATCCTGTCTACTTTCGTACTCCACCAACCATTTAAAGCAGTACATAACCAGAAACCTAGACTATGTATCCAGAAGCGCGTTGTTTAACCCTTTCCCTTACCTTGATCATGGTAATGTTCCTTTTTTGTTGGTTGAACTCATTCCACTTCACTTTATCTTCAGCTTTATTATTATCATCATCGTTGCAATTTCAATTTTTTGACAACACTTGACGTGCTGTAATATAACACACCTTAATAATGACGCTTATTGCAGCATATGTGTTCACATAATGAAATAAGTAGTATATTATTTAGATATTTAACTTTATATTATAAATCGAAAAGAATTTGATAAGGTAACTTATTTGAACGGCTTCAGAGTTCTTGTTAGTCTCTGGCTGCGGACATTGCTTTGTAGTCACGTCTAGGCTTTAGGCTTCAACGTGAAACGGTATATTGCATCAGCTGTTCCATCTTGGCTTCAAATCAATGGAAAGACTGATTAGCAGGAATACTCAGAAACCACCTGTCCTCCTGTTGATTAAAGAAAACCTTCGCATCTGAACTTCAACTCACCTCCTCTACTAAATCAATGATTCGTATGAGAGTGAAGGGCAAACTGCCACTTCTGGCTTTATCAATATATATCCATCAATTCACCTGCTCCTGTGTATGTCGGACGTAGTCAAAATTGGCTATCCAGACGTACCATTGAACTCTTACTCTCATGTGGTTTATGTGGGAGAAAGAAAAGATCCCAACCCAGCTCTATTCCAGAATACCTGATCGAATCTGGACACCAAGCAAACCGGCAAACCAACTTCAGAGCCACCCCCAGAATACTCAGGAATCTTGCTAAAAGAGCTATAACAATTCACATGTTGAGTCCCAGACTCATACATGAGAGGTTTTTCCGATCAATAAATTTACAATGGACTTGATCTGTTTTAACACTGGATACTTAATTTTTTATTGTGTAATTTTTCTTAAGATATTTTCACATTTTATTATCACTTCTTAGCTTGACTCTAGTGAAGTCAGTCATATTACATGACTTGCCCCATTCTGATATAGCAAATTTTGTCAAGTATGCTGATGACCTCTCTGTCTCCATGCCTGTCAACTCTCAGTCAGACTGTTCCATATTAAATAACTTTCTCTCGGAAATTAGTGAGTGGTCCTCTTCAAACGCTCTTAAGCTGAATCCGTCTAAATGTCAGGTAGTAAATTTTACTTTCAGACGGAAAAGTGACCTACAACAACTAGCTAGCTCACATAGTCCCACTATCATTGACGGCATAGAGGTTGAAACTATATCTAATGTCAAGTACCTTGGAGTGAGTATTTCCTCCGATCTTTCCTGGTCCTCTCACATCTTGCTAGTGACTAGAAAGATATTTCGCTTAACGTTCTACGTTAGGAAGTTTAGACAGTCTGGTATAAAGCAGTCTTTGCTTTCTCAGTTTGTCAATTCCTGTATTCTACCCATCCCTCTTTACTGCTCCCCATTAATCTTCCCTGGACTACTTAAGAAAGACTTTGCTTCGCTGCATAGGGCACTAAAAGCTGTTACTAGGGAAGTGGGATTTCGTTAAACCAACTGGTTAACACTATTGTGGATAGACATAATGTCATGTAAGAAACTAGCGAATTCTATATTGTCAGACCCTCTCCATACGCAGCTCTTTCCTTGCATTTCATCTGGTAGAACTAGAAGCAACTATAGGAAGCTATATGCCAGGACTACCAAGTATAAAAACTCCACAATACCTTATCTGGCACAGCTGTTATGTGATGAGAAATCTGTTAGGCATGACACGATCAACTTACTGCGGCACTCTAACAAATAGTTCCCATTAGCTTTTGTTCTCCTTTCTTTGTTACTATTATATTGTTGCTCACATATTCTATTACACACTAATTTTATATTTCATATCCTGTGGTCCATTGTTTAAATAGGTGAATGCAATGCTGTTCTTTTTTATTTCTTTTATTTATCTTTTTTCTTGTTGTTGTTGCTTTTTATTTTTAAAATCTTATAAAATTTATGAGGTAATTAGATGCAATATTGTAATGAACGCTGAAAATTCCATACCTGTACCACAAATACTGTTTGGAATAAAGCCATTATTATTATTATTATATCACGTCACACTCAGTTAATTTTATTTTATTTCACTTTCTACCCTATTAACGCTTTCTGTATTACGTAACTGTTATCTAAAATTTACAATTCTAAAGGCATATCTTTGGAAATATAACTTTTGTTGCTAATGTAATTCACTATATGTGTATGCCAGTTTACAGCTTGAGAATGATATCGCTACAAAAAGAGTGACTCTTCACCGAACACCTTTTCTGTTATATTGATATTCTTTTGTTACTGTCGAATAGAATATATGGCAGAGGCAGTCCTTCTTAACTCTCAGGGTTCTTGATGGGTTTTTTCAAAAAAAAGATTTAAGATTGATAATCTTTCAGGTTCACATGACCATAAGTACACAAGTGGTGATTGTTTCGATTGTTGTTTCTTGTAGTCTTTCATATAACCGGCTCTAATTGAGGTTGTATAGAATCAGGTATTATTTTTCACGAATTAATTGAATTCAAGATCTGCTTACTACTACTATAAGTACACTGGTTCTCAGACAGAAATTGTTTGTTTGATCACAGGATTTCATCATCAACTGACATTGGTTAGAGAACCACTGGAAAACCTGAGAGTACTAGACAGATGTTTCGTCCCAGTTTGGGACTCTTCACAGTACGCACCCACTGGTGTTCAAACCCTTTACGAGGCTAGTGAGCTCGTAGACCGTTAAGCCACTGGGGACCCGGGGAACCCAGGTAACTACCTACCTGAATAGTGTTTGTAGTGTTATTACGATGTTTAGCAGGACACTGAATTATTTCTCAACGAAATTTCAGTCCAAAATGTAACCCTTAGCACACTACTCGCCCGTAAATATAATGCTTTGGTTTATGAAACGATAGATGCATGGTTCGAGTCTCAGTAGGGAGTGGGTTGGGAGCATCATCATCATCATCGCTCACTGGAGAATGCAGGTACATCCAGACGATGAGCCCCAGGTAGGACGAAATGCACATCGTGGATTCCACTCATGGTTACTGCCAACCAAAATAACTTCACGTTAACCCTCAGGCATCATCGAAGTGTCTGTGCTGGAGGCCGACATTTCCAAAAGAGACCAAGCATTTCAGTCCAACACAATCAACCAACGGGGAATGTAAATTAAACTAAAAATAAATAATAACTGATTCGCATTTCACAAGAGGTGCCTGTCATGACATTATTGGCCTATTCGACAACGCTGTGACCCTGAGTGCAGGGTTCGAGTCACCATGAACACCATCACTCACTGGGAATGCTGGTACATCCGTCTGACGAATCCCGAATAGGACGAAATGTGCATCCTGGATTCCAATGCTAGTCACAGTCAACCTAAAATAATAGCCTATAGCTTCTTCGCAGAAGACTGTTTATTAGTGGAACTATTATTTTTTTTAAATATTTTTATATTTTTGATTACAGCTTGATGCCACACCGTATTTTCAATACAAGTATGGAATTTTCAGCCTGGATATCGGTAGCCCAAATTTTGCAGGCCGACCATAGATATCGGGTGTGCGTCGGCAGGGGATCGAACCTCGGACCATGTACATGGTCGGCGAGAGTCCTAACCACTGTGCCACCGATGCACACATATGTCAATAAGGATAAAACGATTGTTTGGGGGTATTCCTTGAGTTTTCATATTTGATGATAATGAGAGTTTAATTAGCAGCAGTACCCATTGCATAAATGAGCATGTTGTAACATGGTATCATCTGCCTATGATCGTCAGATAGTTGAAGGCTTCAATTTACTGTTTTAACTAATTTCTTATGAATAATTTTCTTTTAGACGTTTAAAATATTGACATATTGCATTCGTCTACCGATTATTATTTATAATGATTCCCTTGGATTCCGAGTGCAATATTTGGGGCTTCGACAGCACATCATCTCTGATTCATTGTATTCTCTTCAGTCCTTTTTAGCTGACTGCATGATGATTGTCCATAAACTCTCATCTCCTCTTCATAGAATCTACCTTATGTCACCCTTGGTCTCCCCACTCGTTGTCCCTCGCTCGGGCTCCACTGTAGGGCCTGCAATGCACACGGTGTTACTCAACAGTTTCCTCAGCATGTGTCCGATCCATCTCCATTTCTTTTGGCACATTATTACTTTGTCGCACTGCCACAGCTCCTTCTTGCTTATCCCTTCTGGCTGGCCATCTGATCTTCGATATGTACTACTTACTTTACTTTACTTTGGCTATCTCCTACGGGAGGATGAGCCGGCTTCATGAACATCTCGAATCATCGCTGCCCAGGCACGGCGATCTGATGCAAGGTTTAAAAGTTCATGAAGTTTCATGGGAATTTGGTACGAGTGATGTCCCCAGAATCGCTCGGCCTTTTGTTTGAGAGTGCAGCTCTAGCCTTTACACAACCAAGTGTGACCTACAAGGCAGTAGGAGTGGAGTAGGGAGTCCACTATCCATTGGCAGCCGGTGACCGGAGTTCGGTTCATACGCCCTTTTGAATGGGGCCAGGCATCCAGGAAATCCAACAAGCCCTTTGTCCATACGTCTGCCGGTGAGCTCCAGTGAGCTTCATACGCCAGTCGTTGGAGGTTTGGAATCAGGGTTTAGCCATCTCCCCTAGACTGTCATCCAATGGACAGTCAACCCGGTGAAGAGCGCCGGGTATCCGCTTTCGCCCTCTCACTTTAGTGAAAAACACCTCCGCCACGTGAAGGCAGTGAGTAGGACTTCCTCAGGAGAGGCTATGTAAGACGCCCGGTCATATGGGAGCATTTGAAGAGGTGTGTGGAGGGGTGGCCAACCCGCAGCGCAAGGCACCCACCCCCGACCATCGATATGTAGAGAGAGAGGGTAGGTGTTGATGGAATTCTTCAAAAGCCCGTTGGAAATGATTTCCGTAATGCGTGCACCAAGTCTGTGAACCATACAGTAGCGCCAACTCTTGACATTTATGTTGAAGATCTGGACATTGTTCCTTTGGCTGAGTGCATTAGTAGATTTCCACACTGATTTTAGGTTTAATGAAGGTCTGTCTTACTTCTGTCTAACCTCACTGCTTTTGACATCCTCATCCGTGTGCCGACTGCCTGTAGTTGAAACGGCGCTCCTTATACTGTCTGTTACGATGTATGTCATTATTTTAACTTGATGGTGTTCAGAGCATAATTATTGAAGAATCTTTAAAAGAATGGATACTGAACAAAGAATACTCTTTTCGATAGCCCCTTCATCACCAGGCTCTACAGTTATATATACATTATAGTGAATGAATGAATTAGTGTTATGAACAACATTAATGTTGTTTAAATAACAGCGAATCAATAATAATATCAATAGGTTACAGTTTAATAGCATCAAAATAACAATACACTGAATATCAGAAAAATTAGGAAAGGTAATAATATAAATTACTGAATTTATATTCTCTACTGAAGGCCACCCAGGGCAGTAGTAGTGGCTGGACTTGCTTCTTTTGAACACAGAGAACTGGTTGTTTGAAGCGAATTGCAATAGCCTCTGCTGTTTGGAACATGTGGTGCTTCGATGATTTTGGCAATTTATTAGGCACCCTTGGCTGTTGCTCTAGGAACTTGATTTTCCATGCTCGAGAACATATCCCACTATGGCTAAGTAAAGATGTAGTTAAAACCATTAACAGTTCGGTATTGGACCATCTGGTGCAAACCGGCCACAAAGCCAGCCAGCGTAGAAGAATCCTTCTCTATAATATACCGGGTGCCTAATAAATTGCCAAAATCATCGAAGTACCGCAGAGGTTATTGCAATTCGCCTCAAACAACCAGTGCTCTGTGTTTAAAAGAAGCAAGTCCAGCCCCTACTACTGCCCTGACCGGTCTTCAGTAGAGACTATAAATTCATGAATTTGTAATATTATTTTTCCGAATTTTTCTGACATTCAGCTTATTTGATGTTGATGCTATTGAACTGTATTCTGCTGATATTACTGATTCGATGTTGTTTAAACAACATTAATGTTGTTCATAACACTAATTCATTCATTCACTATTATGGATGGATATGTAACTGTAGAGCCTGATGATGAAGAATCTTCATCCAATAATATACATCACCTATGGGTTATTATCTTGTCTTCTTTTCTTTTTTTTCTGCTTACAGACGAACAAAGTCGATTTAGGAAAGCGGAAATACGAAATCTGGTTAGTTCATTTATTTATTTATTTTTAAACATTTTTTAAAAATTAGTTTTTATGTTATTACTAAAAAAGTGTCTTTGAATTTTCGACTATGACTTATGATCTTTTTTTTAAATGAAGAGTTTGGGTAACATTGTAACATATTCACCCTTCTTCAACAGATTCTGAAATATAGTCAGTCATCTACACCAACGTCCAACACTCGACACATTTCTTGACATAGATATGATATCAGACTCCGTCGACAGAGAGATGATATATAGCAATATTTGACCATGACGGGACTGATCAAGAAACTAATCGAACTCACGAAGAGCGTTATAAGAGCTTATCGAGGATTGTCATCTGTAGTGATGACAACCAGTAGTAGTATCCGAGGCAAAAGCTCACTGACCGTTCGGCCACTGGGACAAATTTATTTAGTCTGAAACGACGCAAAGCATCAGTACCCCATGGAAATAACTTCAGAGGTGTTTAATAATTATAGTGGTAAGAACTGCTGTCTGAATTAACTAAGCTATTAGGTAGTGTCTAAGGATCAGATATAATTTTGTTAGGCCAGTGTAAGTCAGAGTGATTATCCCAGTTTAGAAGAAGGAAAGAAAGTCTTCTTGTGATAATCACATAAGGGGATAAGCCTGATTAATATAGTATAATATCTAAAGTTCTCAGTTCAGTCATCATCCTTAGATTATGTAGTGCTCAGTAGAAAAAAACACACAAGGAGGGCGTATTATTATTATTGTTCCCTTGGGTTCCTAGTGGAACATAGGGCATCAACTACCCGCCTCCACTTGCTTCTGTCTTCTGCTGTACTTTTCACCTGCATCCATGTTAGTACATACTGTTTCAACTCTTTTTCACACGATCTCCTCCATGTCACTGTTGGACGTCCCACTCGCTGCTTCCCTTTCGGGTTACACTCGAGCACTGGCCTGACGCGCGATGTCACCCAGCGGCCTCCTCAGCGAGTGTCCAATCCATCTCCACTTTCTCCTGCATATTTGTTGAGCGATTGGTTCTTGTTTTGTTTATGCCCATAGTTTCTTGTTGGTGATTCTTTCTGGCCATCTGATCTTGAGTATAGAACGAAGACAGTTGTTGATAAAGGTCTGCAACCTGTTGGAAATATTCTTTGTGACCCATCAAGTTTCTGATCCGTATAGAAGAACTGACTGACTTGACGTTTGTATTGAAAATCCGAGTCATTTTGTTGTTGACGCTGAGTGACGAAGATTTCCAGATTGGTTTCAGGTTGATGAGTGTGTTTCTCGCCTTCCCGATTCTCGATTTGACATCCTCGTCCGTTCCTCCTGTAGTTGAGACAATGCTCCCTAGATAAGTAAATGAAGTCAAGGTAGCAGCTTTCGGTCGGGGATGGCAAGCCACCTAGTGGCATGGTGGCCACATTGCAACCTTAACTGACTGATAGAATTCAGTCTGCACCAAAGATGATAGGACTGGACACTCACACATTACACCAGATGCTGACTAGTATCCAATCAAAAACATGTTTACATTCTCAGTTGTCGTTTCCATTTTGGTGTCATAGCCTTCTAGCAACATCAAGATCTATAAACTATCTAACAGTCTAAAGAACATATCTGATTTTCTTTATAATTTCAGATGAAAAATTACTTAATCAAAGCTGAATCATTGAAGTCAGAGTTATGCCTTATTACTGAAATGAATAAAGTCTCTCCATCGTCTACTTCCAAATCTCATCGAATAAGTTGCAGCAACAATTCAAAGGATAATTTACCTGATCCTATTACTCCAGTGAAATGTGAGTTTTTCTGAAAGAAGCTAAGTTATGTTGTCATTGCCATTTTGCTTAACTGAATTTTTGATTTTCCTGGTGATTGGGATGTTTGGCCTGTGTTGACATGTGTTGACTCCTAGTATAAATGCAGTGACGACGACACCTGAGGATTAACTTGAATTAATTGCGATGGTGGGTGACTAGCAGGTGGAATTCGCCAGATGCTCATTTCGTCCCATTTGTGACTTGTCATCAGGATGTTCCTGCATTCCTCAGTGGGTGATGACAATGTGTGTTCGCACTGAGACTCAAACCTTTCAAACACTGTTCGAAAGGCCTCACTTGTGTCATTTTATTTGTGATGAACTGGTTTCTTTTGTTTAAATTGAATTGTGTTCGGATCAGTTAGATCCAACTGCTTGAAATTGTTTGTTTGGTGGAAGTGACCGATGTTCCTTTGCTCTGGTTATTTGCTGCCTCTTTCTCTGTCTCTCTGTGACTGATTCGGCGTAAATGAAGAAGGTTTCAGTCTATTTCAAATCGACTGCTTTCCCACTTATGAAGTTTCTAAAGGTTAACTGATTGATCTCCACAGCTTAAATGAGTGTTCACAGTGCGATATTGAAACTTGAAACTGGGCACGCCGCTGAAAAACTCTGTGACAAACGTGAGTAACGACCGTCTGGTGTTAAGATTACTTCAATCTAGCCAGCGAGCCCTACTGGTTGGTGTCGGTTGTATCCAACTACTCATATCGATTTATCAGTAGTATATGCCACTAATGCGACAGCGGCGGCAAAAGCAGTCTAAAACTGCGTGTCATTTTATGATTTATTTCAAATAATTTTCCCTGATTTATCCTATGCTGAAACAGTAAGTCCCTTTGATAAGTTGAAATAAGGCATTCAGAGAAGACAAATATTGTGAGATGATATTATTTTGTAGTTTCTTTGTTCGACCGCTTTACAACCAAAAATGGTGTGCAATAATAAAATAAAATGGTTAACAGTCAGCCAGTTATGCAAAACAAAGGTGCATATTAATAACCAGTTATATCTTAGTAAGTCAAGTAGTAGTCGATGGCTGACAAAGTTCGAAGTCTTTTGTCTTCTGTACACATACAGTTTGCGTCGCATATGATTAATCCAAAGTGCTTCCACCACACTTAATAATCTTAAATTTATGTTATGTGAAATAATTCAGAAACATTCATTGATACTGATTTGTGACCAGGCGTTAGTAAATTCTTTGCAATGCACGATGCTTGATTTCTATTCAGACTAAGTACATTTGGGTTTTCTGTGTGACTTAATAACCTTTTAGGAACGTGTTCTTCCCGGTGGCATAAGAATATTCGGTCAAGTTAAACTCTAAGCACCACTAACTACCAATGGAGTGTGACAGCACCAATGACCTTGAAACGCTCACTGAGGAAGCTAGTGAAACCTGGCAAATAATGTTGTCATCATCAATCAGTAAAATATGCTTATCGAAGTGTTATGCTATTAAATGGGATATCTGGCAAGTTTCAGCTTAGGTCTGGGAAGGATTACGTTACGCTTTAAGCCGAGGACAAGTTAGGGTTGGGTTAACCTAATAAAGGCGACTTTAGGATTGGTTCGAGTTAGATTACAGTTGGTTTAGGGATATTTTCACGTTAGGGTTAGGTTCAGGAAAGATTAGGGTTATTTTTAGGGTTAGAAAGCCTAAATAATTACATGCATAGATATAAGAATAGCACTTCTGCACTGTGGCAGAGTATAATTCCATTGTGGGTAAAATTTATTTTGATTAAGTCTCACAGGGTTTGTTATACAGTAATATTTACTGATTATGTTTTGAGCACAAGTTATTGCTCAGGAAATATGACTGTGTAACACTATGAGACTTTATCAAAATAAATTTTACCCGCAGTGGAATTATACTCTGTTAATGCTCCAACCTAAAACTAAGAGCTATTTTTATCACATGTGAGAGAAAGGTATCCTCTGTAACACTTTTCTACAGTTTTTATGTATTTTTTTCATAGTTATACGTATTCCATACACAAAAATGCCTCCTTCACGTGATTGGCCCGTTCGAGGTCATTCGCTGATTGGTAGTTAGTAGTGCTTAAGGTTTAACTTTACCGAATATTCTCTTAGTTATACCCATCAACTGAAAGTGAACTTGTGGATACAATATGAAGTAGAGTTCGTAAAATGTGATCCTTTCATCGTAGGCACAGGAATTGAAACTGTTCGAGGTGTAAGCGAAACGGATATGGTTCAGTATGTGTCCTTAGTAGCTGACCTAAGGATTTTAACTGGCAGTTGCACGATTTAATCATCATTGAATGGTAGTCTAATGGAGATAGCCTTCTTTGCTACGGAAGAGTTGTCTTTTCAAGAGTCAGTCAATCTCTCTCTCTCTCTCTATTGTGATATATACAATGAAGATTTCAGAATATCCATTAACCATCAAAACTGAATGTTTGCACTGTAGCTCATCCATTAATGTATCACTTGTTCAAATTTTACAGGCCCCCTAATTCAAGGTTGTTAAAAATGATGGAAGCACTTTGGATTAGTCACATTCATCCTAAACTGTGTGTATACAGAAGGAAAACAGACTGCAGACTTTGTCAGTCATAAACTACTTAACTAACTAAAATACGATTTATTGGTGGATGGTGACTAGTAGTGGAATCCAGGATGCGCATTTCGTCCTATTTGGGACTCGTCAACTGAATGTACCTGCATTTCTCAGTGAGTGATGATGTTCCCTGAGACCGAGCACTTCGGTCCAATCAATTGACGGGAAAATCTAAAAAATTCAATTAAAATACGATTTATTCTTAATATCCACTTTCGTTTTACGTAACGAAATTATTGTCAAACATTTTATTTTATTACTGATTGTCAGTTTTCAGGGATTTGATTGGCTGCAGGTTCGATTACAGGCTGACACAAGTTAGAAAACCACTGAGAAAAACCTAGGAGTGTACTGGATAGCTGTTTCGTCCTACTATGGGACTCTTCAGTAACACGCACCTACGAACGCACTGGAGATCGAGTCCAGGATCCTCTAGTCATAAGGCTAGCTCATAGACCGACTATCTGGCCACTGTGGTCCGATCAAGTAGCTCATGAACATCAACTTCTGCCACCACCACTATCAATGGAAAAAAATTTGAAAGAGGTTACTTCCTTCACTTATCGTTCCAACTGCAAGCGGACGGCACGGATGAAGATGTCAAAGCCAGAATCGGGAAGGCAAGGTACACCTTTGATACTCTGAAATCAGTTTGGAACTGTTCTACATTCTGCACAAAGAACAAGATTCGGATTTCCAACACAAACCTTGAACCAGTTCTTATATGTGGGTCAGAAACCTGGTGTCCACGTCACACAAAGGATTTCAAACTGGCTATTACAGACTTTTATCAACAGCTGCCTTCACTGGCCCCATACTGAAGATCAAATGGCCAGCCAGCCAGAAAGAATTGATAACAAGAAAATCTCTGGGAACAATCCAACCAAAAACCGATTGCTCAACAAAGTGTAGAAGAAAAGGGAAATGGATTGGGCCTGCAATGAGGAAACTATTGGTTGAAATTGCGCGCCAGATCATCACTCGAGTGGAATCCAATTAGCGAACGATGTGTCGGATGTCTGAAAGTTATATGGAGGAAATCGTGCAAAGAGGAGATGAGGGATTTTGGGCAGACGTGAGACCAGCTGAAGAGGACGGCAGAAAATCTCACAAAATACAGACGTACTGTTGAAGTCCTATTTTGCACTTGGAACTTAAAGGAACAATGAAAATAACAATAATAGTAATCACGTATTGGTAGAAGTTTGAATTGATGGGCCATTGAGTCGGGTCCCAGCGGTTGAATGGTATATGAGCTTGCCTTGTAACCGGAAGGTCCTGGATTCAAAACGTCGTGGTGGGTGCGTACTGATGATGATTCCCAAACTAGGATGAAACGGCTGTGGAGTACTCCCTGGTTTTGAATAGTTCTCTAACTAATATCAATCCATGCTCTAACCTGGAACAAATAGAATCCCAACAAACCGATTCTTGAAAATAATAATGATAAAAATTGCGCTGAAGATGTTGTCCAGAAGGACGACGAAAGCTCTGCAACTAAACCAACCAGCTTAGAGAACACTACTAATAGCAAATCATCCACCTGAGCTACAAATCTTCTCTATTATTTCAATAATAGTACCTCATTGGGTAGACGGTGCTGTGAACCATGGTAGTTGTAAAGTGATCGTAAAGAAGCTACTAAGTGATGCTATTCTATGTTAATGATAATTAGCTACTGCTGATTGTTAGTGTAATATGGGCTTTTTTATAACCTGTTTTATAGGCTACCGTGTTTCTCAACAACAACAACAGCAAACGAAGGAGACTGTTAATTCAAAGAAGACGTCTTCATCCGATTTAAAAACAGATGTAAAGCGTAATTCTCCAGCAGAATTAAAAGCTGCTATCCCATCTACTATGTATTATCCAACTCCAAGTCAAACAAATGAAATCACTTATTACCTAAGGGATCAATTGACAATAAATTCAATTGATGAAATCAATGATTGTTTATCATCTGATAAGGCTAGCGTTATTACACGTGTAAAACAATGGTTCACACGACAAAATTATAAAGATGAGAAAATGTATGAATCTGAAAGAAATAAAGGTAAGCTAGTTTGTAACTTGCCTTGTCATTATATATCATTATTATTCTTTTGGGTTCCGAGTGGAACATAGGACTGCATTAGTTGACCTGCGGTCCCTTTTCAACTGGCTCCATGATCGCTTACAGGCTTCTGTCTCCTCCTCCTTGCCAGACTAGGACACCCAACTCGTATTGTCCTAGTAGGGTCCAACTTCAGGGCCTGGCTCGTGATATATTATCCCATGGTCTCTCCTCAGAGTATGTCCAGTTCATATTCAGTAGAAGTGACGTAATGTTTGTATCTAATGTGTGGCGAAGTGTAAATTTGAGTAGCGGAGGGCTTCAAACAAATGCCGCCCCCTCCCCTTCCCTACCAAATAACTAGTCTTACACACTCTACCAGCTAAGCTACACAAGAGCCTACTGCTGACTAGATCACTAATTATTCCGCTGTCATCAGTACGCTTGATACTCAGTTATCATATAAACAAACAATGTGTACTGACTGCGTCGGTGGGACAACGGTAGAATGCTCGCCAACCATGCATATATGGTCCGGGGTTCGATCCCCGGCCACAGACGCACTCCTTGACCTCTCTAACCCAGTAGTAAGACTGGTAAAAAGGGAAGGTTGGGCATGAGGTTAGCAACCCCATCCTGTAAAAATAAACGCCACTGGTACCGAAACTTAAAGCCTCTAGCTTGAAGCCACCCTATGTTCCACTGGGAACGTAAAGCGATAAAAAAATGTACTGACTGACTGAGTCAGTTTCAAGTACAATCGTTCAAATTGCCACACTCCATGTGGTACACAAAGACAGAAAAAAGAGATAAAAATCAAAATAACTGTAATGAAGAAGAACTGTACGGGAGAAAGAATAGTATGATGGGAAAACATGAGGATCTGGAATGAATCTGGAAGATTACAAAAATTGAATGCATCTGCACCGTTGAGAATGATTTTTAGCCGTACCACTGATAAGTAGCCTCCAGCCATTGGTTCTTGGCATCCTGAGGAACCCAACCAGACAGTCTGCACCTCCAATCGTCATATACTTCATGGACTAATTCCAGATTTTGGTTTGACCACCTCTAACACTTTTCCAACCTAATCCTATATCAGCTAACATTGCTCGGCATGCATAACACGCGTCCTAGCCATCTCAATCGATGCAGCTTCATAATCTCATCGATTGATCTTGCCCTCCTTACCACCTAATACTTTACGCTTAACCTGAATATATTGCTCACCATATGATACTAATTAACACGGAAGACGGAATGCAAACATCTGTGATTAAAGGCAACTAGCATTTTCACCTTTGTAACTGTTCGTTCATCATTCGTGTACCTACTCATCTAGGTTTTCTGTCATTTTACCCTTGCTCCTAATTGAGTATGATATTATATCTATCTTTTATTTGCTGGCGATCAAAGCTACTTCATAGTTCGCTTGCTATAGATGACGTGTTCAAGTTGGATATTATAAAAGAAGTATTACTTTTGAGACGACGTAAAATAATTGTACTTCATGGAAGTAATTTCAAAGTTTCACTTACCTACGGGATTCGATCATAAGATCCAACGTTCTTAAAAAATGTTAGCTTAAAGTTCTGCACAAAAAAATTCGGTTTATATGAGTTTGTGAAGGTATAGTTCATTGGCTTAAGCACTGGGTTTTCAGTTGATGAGTCATGCGTTCGAGTCCCTCTCCAGCTAATTTAGCATGGGCAACTTGGTGACAGTATCAACAGCCTTCACGTGATAAATGTAGCTGTTTGCCTGGCACATGGAAAATCTGTCCCAGGCAATTGAGTTTAAACGTTGTCTTAATTTCTTCTGCTCGCCAACGACGCATATGGTCAGGCGTTCGATCCCCGGCCACCGAAGTGCTCCTAAATCTCACTAAGCCTGGTAGTAAGGTCGGTAAACAAGGAAGGTTGGGCATAAGGCTAGCAATCCCACCCACTAGGAACGTAAAGGAATGAAAATAATAATAATAATATCTTCATCAATGGGTTTATCAGCCTCATATTCTGATCTCCTTAGTCGGGTGTAACGAGTCATCTTCTCACTTGATGTGATACGCTATCATCATTACTTTTATGCGTATTCTGATGATTTGTTGATCAGATCTATCGTCGGTTGATCTCACTCACTAGTTATTGCTTATTACTCTTCTGATTACATTTGATAGGCTGGGTGTAAGTCGATCTATGCATACATAATCTGTCTATCTGTTGATTCGGCGGATTGATCTGAGTATACTCACACACACATTTTTTATTGGTTTGTATGTAGTGCTATGTACAAACTTCTTATCCTCATGATTTTTATAGAATCTTTCTTTTTTGTGAAATACTTTTTCTCTCTCACTACTCTACCACATATTTATATTCATTTGGGGGCCATTAACGCTTATTTTGATGACGAGTAAAACAGTCATATTGCTGCTTAACAGACAGTCCTGTCCTGTTATAAAGGTACAATCATTGTGCTTGGTTTTTTTTGCTCTCATCCAATCTTTTATGGTGAAATATGTATGTATTTTGTTGTTGTTGTTGTGAAAATGTTTATATTCATTTAAACGGGTTATTTTTTTCTCAGTATCAGTATCGGTATCACGCCTATTTGTAATTTTTCATCCATGGACTGTATTTTGTTAGCGTCTTCACTTAGGAGGACTATAATAGCCCCCATGCTCTAATTTAACAAGACTATACCCCAGTAACAAGTCAATCCTTAATTCCATTAGTACATCTGAGATGAAATTAAACAAAAATGGAGACAGTGGGCATCCCTGATGGGTACCAGTGGTTGTCATCACTTCAGATGACAACTCTGCATAAGCTCTTAGATGGCTTCGTATCTTGATTAGTACGATGTACTTTCTGAGTATTCAATTCACGGGTAGACATTGCCACAGCACTTATCTGTCGACGGAGTCAAGAAGTGTGACAAGTGTTCGATGCTCTTAAGTAAGCATATGCTCCAGAATCCATCGAGGGGTGAATTTATGATCAATGCATCCTCTTTCTGGCCTAAAGTCTGCCTGGCTTTATCTGGTTCGTTTCTCCCTAGCACCCGACTGATAGCTGCTACCTTGACGTGGTAGTTGGGCTTGCACATCGCGATGAGCCAACAAGCTACACTGTCTGTCTGTCTGTCTATTTTCGACATAGAACCTTGCACATATGTGTGGCAGTTCAAGTCGCCACACTCCCTCCATGTAGCACACAAAGCAAGAGAAGAAAGTAGGAGAAATGCATATTAGAGACACTAAACAGAGCTGTGAGACAAAGGAATAGTAATAACGAAGAACAATATAGTTTCATTGGAAATCATAAGTCACAAGGAGTGGATGCATCTGCGCTATCGGTCGGGCAAGCTACACTGGCTGGAACCAATGTTCCTGCAGGTCCTACCATGCCAAGAAGGTTGTTACGATAGCGATTAGACTAAAAGCAGTTACCGGCGTAGTGTAAGAATTTTTTTACACTATGCTGGGGGTCTGTGGGCGAAGTCGCACTGCTGGGGAACAGGGATGTAACAGCAGTAAGGTGTTTCCATCAGATGACCAGCATGCCGGCCAGCGATACTGTCTCTCCACCCTAGAGAGAGGAGGTTAGAAAAGGTGGAACCCAACAATTGTACATCCCGACTTACCCTACGATGGTCCATAACCGGCGTTAAGTTTACTAATACGGAACCAATCCCAGTAACCAGTTCGTACAGGCCGTGTGTGACCGGCCTCAAGCAGTTGTCCTCTGGGCTCTGTGGTCACGCAACACTAACCATCTTTCTGTTTCATGTACCCGAAGAATCAATCAACTTCCACGGTGTGGGCAGCCGGGAAGTAACAACCGCCCACACACTTCCGAGAGCACACGAAGCCTTCCTGAGCATCATTCTCCTTTACTCCCTAGCACCACTAAGTCCGGGTATGATTATTGAACCTAGAACTTTAGATGCTATATTACTCAAACTAATCCCGCTTATGATTATCACAGGAAGACTTGTCTCCCTTCTTATAAACTGGGATAATCAGTGACTTACATCAGTCTAACAGAACTATCCCTAATACCTTAGTTAACTCAGATGACAGTTCATCACCACTGTCCTTAAACACCACTGAAGTCATCCCATCAGGTTCTAGCGCCTTGCCTCGTTTCCCAACAAATCATATGGTCTGAGCCCACATCTGCTCCTCTTCTCGACTTCGTATCCAGCAGGCTGTCTGCATCTCCACTTCCTTGAGCAGCACTGACATGAAATCTGTTTGTGGTATGTCTTTCAGGAAAAATTCATGTTGCCTTGTGTATATCTTTGTGTATGCACACGCTTCCTCCGATCACCAAATCATTAAAAGCTCAAAAGTCTACGAATAGTTCTCCGTTTTCATTCATTCCTCCGAACCAGAGCCTCTCAACCCATGATGAGTTTTCCTCCTGTGTTGTCTGCTCCCAGTTTCACTGTTATTCATATCGCCCATAAGGATGTTGTCCATTACTGTTTGCAGTTGACTCTAGAAATATTGCTTCTTCTCTGATTCTGAGTTGTGTGTAGGCGTGTAGCATTGGATAATCTTAGGCATCCTTCCTTTTGAGTTGAATCTTACTGTCATTATCCTGGAGAAAATTGGCTCCTAATGCATAAGGGCTTTTGCTGCTGTTGGTGACATCATGATAACCACTCACAGCCTCAGTGTTCTCGTGGTTGTTGTCTGGGTGACGGAAGTGCATTATTTACTCTTCAGTTGACAATTTTGACACTCCACATTCATTCCATCTGCTCTCGCAGATACCCAGCACTTCTATGCCATATCTTCGCATTTCTTTGGCTACCTGGACAGCCTTCCCAGCCAGCTTCGTACATTGTACGGACATTCCACGTCCCCATTCTTATTCTTGCTTTCATCGAGGGAAGATACATCGGCTGGCTGACTGGCTTCCCGAATGCCGGCTTTCACCAGCCCGCTGTGTCATTTCGCCTCTCCGATTCCAGGGAGAAATAAGTATGCT